AAAATATTTAAAAGGAACTACAGGATTTGGTTTATGGTATCCATCTGAAGCTTCTCCTAGTTTAATAGGATATTCTGATGCTGATTATGGTGGATGTAAAATAGATAGAAAGAGTACTAGTGAAACATGTCATTTGTTAGGATCATCCTTAGTGTCTTGGCATTCTAAGAAACAAACATGTGTTGCTTTATCCACTACTGAAACTGAATATATTGCAGCTGGTAATTGTTGTGCTCAAATTTTATGGATGAAACAACAATTAGAAGACTATAGTATCTTTCTAAGTGATATTCCTTTGATGTGTGATAATACAAGTGCAATAAATCTTACTAAGAATCCAGTAATGCATTCTAGAACTAAGCATATAGAGATTAGACATCACTTCTTAAGAGATCATATTAGTAAAGGAAATTGTAAAATTGAATATGTTGATACAAAACATCAATTAGCAGATATTTTTACTAAACCTCTTCCCAAGGATAGATTCTATGATCTAAGAAGAGACTTAGGAATATTATAAATAGCCTAAATTCTGCTTAACTAATCAATTTTTGCATGATTGTACTGTAATAATCGATTATGTAGGGTTTTAATCGATTATCATGTGTCAAAACCTTAAAAAATTGATGATCTCTTTGGAATAATCGATTATCTTGAGTGTTAATCGATTATCTCAGATGTAGATGATAGGGTTTGTAACTTAGAAGATAGATTTGATGCTCAATTCAACAGTGATGCAAGTGAAGAGTTTTAATCTCTTCCACATATCTCTTTGTTTGTAATACTTTAATTTATGGAATAAAATTGGTATTTTTGCTTTGTTTGAGGGGGAGCTATTTTATAAATTATGCACTTATTGAGGGGGAGCTTTCATTTTTTGATCATAATCAAAATAGGGGGAGAAATTATTTAAAGCCTCTTATGCTTATTAAATTTAAATGTTATCTAGTATGTTTAATGTTTTTGTTAGTTGTGACAGATAAAACAGGTTATTACAAAGGGCTTTAAAGGAGATTTTGATCATCATAAAAAAGGGGAAGATTGTTGAAACATATAAGGATATGAATGTTGAACATACATGGATATGAAGCTTGTTGATTTTGATGATGATTCAAGAATAAAGGACTTAAAGATTTGAAGACTTGTAATGTTATGTAATAACTCTGTTTTTTATGTTTTTGAGTCTGTAATATTAGAGCACAAGATAGCCAACACATAGACCACTCTTTAAAGGCTTTAAAAACTCATTTTTATCAAAAACATACTGGATCAATCGATTAAATGGCAGGATAATCGATTATTACAGAGAGAAAACCATTTTCAGCATTTTCTCTCTGGAATAATCGATTAAACACCCTGTTAATCGATAACTGGGTTGTTAATCAATTAAATGTCCTGTTAATCGATTAACTGGAGCTATTTTGGGTTCTCTGCAAATTTGGCTCTGGAATAATCGATTAATACTCAAGATAATCAATTATTTCAGTCAGATATGTGTTTTAAAATTCAAAATTGGACCAAGTTTCGAAAACCCTATTCCCAATTCATCTATTTTCAAAAATCCCCAATTCCCAAACCCTAATCTTTCTACTTAAGGTTCTCTAAGGCTCTCTGCAAATTGAACAACATTTTACAAACAAAAGTTAAGAGTTGTGACTGCTAGAGAACTGTTTGTTGGGAGGAAAAATGGGCTTTTGAAACATAGTGTGGGCTAGAAGCGATAAGAATCACTAAGTGGGTTTTCTTGGTGGATTGTGTGTTGTGCCGTTTCTAGGGAAAGTTGTTCTTCATCCTTTGTGGATTCAAAGGAGGTGTTCATCTCTTGTGTGACTCAAGAGAGGTGTATTCTTTACCTTATCTTTTCATTTGTAAACTGTTTGTATAACTGTGATTATAGTGACAACGTTAATCCTCTGTTTGAGTGATTAGCAACTGGACGTAGGGTCTTTTAATCCGAACCAATATAAATCGACTGTGTAATACTCTATCCCTTCTCTATTTACTTTACACAGCATTTTAATCGGTGAAATTTAAAGAAAATTTTAAAACCCTAATTTTTGTTTAAAAAACCAATTCACCCTCCCCCTCTTGGTTTTTGTTCGTAAAGGCAAACATTCCGCTGCGCGATTCTAACATGTTGTAGTCAAGATTTACGGATTATGTTGTAATCTAGTTACTAAACAAACTTTAATGAAAAATCCAAACTAAAATTGCTTGATTAAACTAGATATAGATTCAAAAGAATCCAACGAGTATAAATTCTTGTATTTTTTTTTCTTTCTTCTCCATATCTTAATATTTTTGTGATCTTAACACAATTCTAAGTCTTTTTAAATTTGATTATAAAAAAAAATAAAATAATTAATTAGATTTGAAAAGAATTTAAAAACGCTTGAAAACTCAATTAAGCTCCTTTTAAATTTGTTTAGATATTTACGTTTTACTAACAATAAGCACACAATTACATTAGTGATTATCAATTAAATCATAATCAATTTATAAAAATATTATATATATAATCAAGTATGAACTTAATCAATTTGATTATAATTTATATTTTGACAACCTATCAGTTTATAAGCAAACAAATTTTTTCTTATAACTAATATTTTTACAACCTATCTATGTATTATTAATTAAATTATATATAATTAAAATTATTTTAAATAGTTAATATTAGATTTTTAAAAATTCAAAATCAATTAGAACTAGTTATATAACTAATTTTAGTTATAACAAGCTATATAAGTTATATTCAGAATCAATTTTTTAAACTAAAATAACCACTTATAACGTGTGGTTAATATTTATTACCATTTTTAGTTAACTATTATATAATAACTTTTTAAATATAATTATTGTACAAAATAACATATTATAATTGTTTGTATTCCTATTCATATTTATTCACCTGAATGAAATTTAACCCATAACAAAAAGATAAAATTATATTGTGAATTATGTCACACCATAATTTGAAAATACTTGATAGGTTCAAATTGGTTGCTGAGTATATATTGAAGTGAATATTGACTTATGTATGCTGAGAACATTGATGATATATCATTAACTCTTCAACAAGAGTATTAAATATATTCAACAAATATATACACTGTGGTGCTTGTAAATATTCTATTAAGATAATATTTGAAAAATAAAAAGTGAACCTTCTATATAATAATGTTAATTTTGTTTATAAAAGAATATAATTAATTGGATGTCCTACTTTCTCTAGGATAGAATAAAAAATCACATCAAGTGGATATATCAAATCTGTTTTCTACGACTATTCTGAAACAAAAATTAAAATCAAGTATTGCGCAGAGGAAAAGTAATAATGTATATAAATTATACTTAGATTAATAAATATATAATTGATTAATTTGTTCGTACATACGAGTATAGCTTTTCTTTTAAAACTACACACTTGTATTTATTAAACGAAGAAAACTATAATTGATATAATTCTGGAAGTAAAAGAAATGTAATAATTAAACTACTGCTATCATATTTTCGTTTACATCTGTTATGTAAGTGCTGGAATTTTTTTAAAAGATTTCGTCATTAATTTAAAAATAATAAAAAATTGATGGAATTGAAATTTAGAAAATTAGTAAAAAAATAAAATAAAAATCCAACTGAGAAAGGAAACTTCAGAAAATATTTGCTATCTTAAAGGATGATTGACTTGGTGGGCAAACAAAGAGTAGAGAGAATTTAATTTTAATTTAATATAGTGATGTTGACAAAATAAAACATGTGCACTTAAAACTATACATAAAACGACAAAATCTTACCCCACATAACATAAACCATATTTGTCTTGTATACTATAGCTCACCAAAAGTAAGGGTGCATATTATAAATAAAAATAAAGTGAAACAATTACTATAAAAAAGTAAAATTAAAAGAAAATACTCTCTTAAATTGTGCACGAAAGATAGGGGAGAAAAATTCAACAATAAACTGAGTAAATAAAAAGGATAAAATGAATTTAAGATTCTTGATAAAGTAAAAGTTTTTATGTACCAGAAGTTGGTATGAATGATATATATAATCAATTAATAAAATATAAAGTTAGAAAAAGATGCTCAAAATTTGTTTAATTTATTAATAGATTAATGATATTATAATTGATAGTAGTATTAGCATTATTATACATACATACATATATATATATATATATATATATATATATATATATATATAATATTGTATATTTCAATTATTATTATAAATTTTCTTATTTCTTACTTATATCTAGTTTGTAGTGTTTTTTTTTTCATTTTTGAGAAAATTATAAATAAATAAAGATGTAATATGATTTGTTTAAGCTCCTTGTTCAATGTTATTATTATTATTATTATTATTATGTGAAATATATCGAACATTATCATATATTGTTATGGTGCTGAACATATATAAAAGAATATTAAATTTGAAAAATGCTATTAAGAGGGGTGAGTGAAGGTAAGGTTCACCTTTTGTATCAAAATGTTAGTGATAAAAAAAATTACGTAAAATAAAAAGTAAAATATAAATTATTAATTCATAAATATAGTTAAAATTGTACGATATTTTAACCAGAAAGTTTAATTATTATGAAATTTTTACATTGCTAACTAATTAAATTATTTATTTAAATCATTAAGAGTTTTTTCCCTTTCATAAAAAAATCACATGTTTCTTAGAATTCTGTTTGAAATAATAAGATTATTATGAATGGTTACACACCTCTTAATAAATAAATATCTAATATAACTATATATTTAAAATTAAAATTTACATTATTAGTTAAACTATATAATACACACTATTTTTTGTTTTAAATAACTGATAAATGTATAGTTATGATATTTTTAAGAATCTTACTATTTATAGCATCAATTACTATAAAGAAATTTATAGAATTAATATAATATTATTAATTTTAATAACTAAACTCACAAAGTTGCATTTTCAAAATTTAAAAAAGAAGAAATGAAAAACCCATACAACACATGGAAAGGCCAAGGCAGTGTGGTAGCTAAAGCCAAAGCCTATGCTATTCCAAACACCACCTCTACTCTCTCTCTCTCTCTACTCTGCTATATGATGATTCATTTCTAAACCCTAATTCTCCTTGTTTTCATTTTTGCTTTATTGTTTTTTAAGCGATCTCCGAGTATTGATTAAATGGGGTTTTGTTCATTTCCAATTTTCTGAAACAGTACTCTTAAAAAATAACTGATCACATTTCTGTTTCTGCAAATTTTGCATTTTTTCTTTCTTTCTTCCTGGGGTGTTTGCAAAACAAGAGAATCTCCTCGATTCCTTGTGTTTTTCCTGTCTAAAAATACCAGCTTTAGGACTTTCAGTGTTGCAAATTGTTGAGGGTTTTTGTGGGGTGGAGGCTTTGTTTTCCATGGCTGCGGTTGCTGAGATTCCCGCCGATGCCAACAAAATGGACTCAAAACCTAAGGCTGAATCTGAATTCAGTGTTCAGAAGCTGGTTGACATGTTCACAAAGTTGAATCCCTTGGCGAAGGAGTTTTTCCCTTCAACATATTCTCCCAATCATGATCATCGCCTTCAGGGCTTTAATCAGCTCTCACCAACCCACTTTCTGGTCAACTCTAAGCCCTCTGCTAATGAGAATTTCCCGAACAATCGAAGGGTAGGATTGTTATGTGATTGATCTCTCATTTCTAGTTTAGTGTTGATTTATGCATGATTATGACAAGAATTTTGTCAATGAGAATTTGTTACATAGTTAAAACTCTCATGTGAAAATTTTTTTCTGGCTGGTAAAGACAGAATTTTAATCAATTTAGTGAATGACAGCAAGAGGAACCTACTAGCATTAGGTGATGACCCAGAAAACAAAAATTAAAGAAATCATGATTGACTGTTCCAACTGCACCACCTAAGAGAAAGGGCACCACCACAGCAGAATGTCGATACTTATTTATAACTGAAAATCCAAGCATTCCGCGAACTGGAATATTTTTGCTCCTATAAATTCTAAACTGTGATTAATCGAATCGAGTCTCTGGGATTTGATTTTAGTTATATGTGTCCTATACGAATGGATGTGGTTCTTCTGTGTTATATTTGCATATTTGGTCAGAATCATAGTCTTGGTTTTATTTATGGCTGGCAACTACCGTCGTGACAGCAGTATTGCAGTTTAGAAGGTTTTTGAAGCTGCGTTGTGACTACAATTCTGTCTGCATTTGCCTGCAGTTTTCTACAATTTCAGTTATCACAACACAGCTTTTTGTGTCTATTTTATTTCCATGGGAAAATATGTGTTTTTCTCTTCAATTTACACAATAGTTTAGGATATTTTTCAGACATGTGTTGCCCCTACAACTTTTGTGTTGTCTGTTATCTATACTCTTTTTGTATGATTAACTCCAAATTGATTATGGCATATATCACACTACGATTGTCCTATAGCATATTATATGTGAACATCCCGGTTTCTGTTTAAATAATGAGGATGATATCATTGAGGTGACATTTTCTGTACAAATTAATCCCGCTGACAATTGTGTTTACTGAAAATTTACACTTTTGTTATCTTGCAGAGAAGAAATGGTTTTAACCAAGGAAGGAGGAGGGTGAGTGGAAGATCACTAAAGGCTCAGAGAGAAGATAGCATTAGAAGAACAGTTTATGTTTCTGATATTGATCAGCATGTAAGTGAATTGAGAATGGCGTGAATAAAATTTTATTGTGGTTTTATTTGTTTAATGTTCCATAAAATGTGTATCAACAATTTTTATGCTGGCTATCAAAGGTCTATCACAACCCTCCACCTTTACCTGGGATTGGGACTTACTATATGATGATGCCTTTAACCAAGTGAAATGACTGTGTGAATTGTAATCCATGTAGCCAATCTCACCTAGTGGCACAAGACTTTTTTAGTTGTTGTTGTTGTTGTTGTTGTAGTTTGTTTAGTGTACTGTTCCAATCATGCTAAACAGAATTATGTGAAGAGTTTTTGTCCTGGTGTAGGTTACTGAGGAGCGGCTTGCAGCCTTATTCAGCAGTTGTGGACAAGTAAGTTATGAGCCTTGATATAGCTTGATTAGTCTATCGTTTTAGTTTGCAATTAGATACAAATATTACATTGCAGTATTTAAATTCTGTGTGAAATCTTGTTTTGTGATTGGCATTTGTCCCCATTATTTTTCTATGATTATTATGCCTAGCTTTATTGTCATTTATTTCATAACTCTGAACCTAGATTGCTGGAATTTCTCTACCCTCCCATTCGACCATACACCAAGTATTGCCAACATGTCCCTGCTCTGATAATTTCTTTTGTAAAATTTTAGCTGTCTACTTTCCACACAGTTGGCTGTACTATACCCTCTTTAATGCGGCCTGGATCAGACCTGATACTTGAACGAACTCTACGCACCATTCTCCATTTTATGAATGGTTTTTGCTGTCATTTTCTCCAGTCCGCCATCTAAAACACACCTTTCTTTTTCTCGTGTTTTAATTTACGGTACACTTATTAGTGAGTATGCTAATCTTGGTTTGTCATGAGGTTTGGATGCTGTTATTGCAATATTTTTCCATATAAATCTATTAAAAAATGCAGCTGGCTTGTTTTGGAAATATGTCATTGGAAAATATTATTATCTAGAAATCAAATTTTTAACAATCATCATGTTCACTGAAAAAAAAACTAGATTATGATATTAGCTAGAGATATAAATCCATACCAAAATAAGAAATTGTTAACCTGTTCATCTGAAGGAATCTTACTTTTTTATTGCTTTCATTGGCCTTCTTAGTCCGAGCATGATTTCTTTTTAGTTGTGTTTATATATTTATCTTTAGTGTAGAATAAAGAATTCCAGCATATGGTAGGATATACAGTTATTAAATTAGGTAGAGGACTTTGGTCTTTGTCCAATGGTTCGGTTGATCCATGGCAGAGTAGTTAATTCTTAGTACACTATACAGCGCTGCTACTTTTTCATCAAGCACCCTGCTGTGATGAAAAGTGGTATCACATTCCATTCTGTGCAGTGACAACAGCATCCTGAATGACAGGCAGGTAGAGGTAGTGGATTTATGTCCTCCCTCCCTCAGAATGAATACTGGGTTCAAAACACTGCCTCCTTTGAAGAATGATCCAATATATTTTGCTGCTCTGTTCCTTTGCCCTATCCATCTCTTGAAGTTGATGCATTTTTTGGACAATCCCCTGCTTCTCCACTAGCCCAAAACAATATTCAACTGTCCTAACATGTTTTCTGGAACCTGTTCAACCTCTACTAGTTTTCTCCTTCTTGACCCTGGGCATATTTGAAGCTCATGGTCCAGCCTTTGTATTTTCTTTAACTTCTTCCATGATTCCAACCTGTGTTTCTTTTTCACTGAGACAAATTATCTGTCCATCCTTTTTTTTTGTTTCTCTTTGCTGTTGATTATTGATTCCATCCTTTTGGCATTATCACAGTCACAACTAGTCCAACAGAACACATCAACCTCAACTCAGTCTCTTTCCATTGTTATTGACTCAGTAATTATGGCTTTAGTGATTGTTGTTTCTACACTTTGACTTTTGATAGTTAAATTAAGTATGACTTGCCTTTGAATTCTTTTTGAGCATTGATATTGTTCTATGAAATACAAATTTTTTCCATTGTCCTTTGTATATCTTCCATCCTGCAATCCGCTATGCCATCATAATTTTGTTGAGGTTGCCATTCCATGCTGTGCTATCCTGGATAGCTTATGTTTGATCCTCCCCCATGAAAAAGGCTTGTTTGCTGTTGTAATGAAAAGTAGATTTACTATAGTCACCAGTGGAATGGGTTCCACCTTTCTTGTATATGACTGGCATACAACCTGCTATTTTTTAATTTAAATGGTCCTTTTTGTTTGACTTGTCAAGATTGCCACTAACAGCAGCCATCACTTGGCAGAATTTATAAGAAATTTGATTGTGCTTCCTGACCTTTCCATCTGATGCATGTTGTGGCACAGTAATATCTCTTCTCTTGCTGAATATCTAGGATTTAAATTTAAAGATAAATCTTTTGTTATAACTATTACCCTGCTTTTGTAATTAATATGTTTTATTGGATCTTTTGTATTGAAGGTAATTGATTGCCGCATTTGTGGCGACCCACATTCAGTTCTCCGTTTTGCTTTTGTTGAATTTGCAGATGAGTGTAAGTTTTCTCCATAAAATCCCACTCTTCTCAAATTCTCCTTAGTTCACACGCAGACTTATTTTTCAACCATATCATATTCATTTTTCAACCATATCATATCCATTTTTCATGGAATTTGTGTCTACAGATGGTGCTAGGACAGCTTTAAACCTTGGTGGTACTGTGCTTGGATACTATCCAGTGAGGGTTCTTCCTTCAAAAACTGCCATTCTTCCTGTGAATCCTACATTCCTCCCTAGGGTACGAATACTTTCTGATGCTTTTTATTCGTGGACATAGTTGGACTTGAAAGTTCTTGTTTAGATGTAGTTTTCCCCTTTCGTTATGTGATAAAAGGGCTGATCTAGACATAGTTAGGACACCTACACTTCCATCGTTGAAAAAAATTGATTTGCACATTTGTTATTTCTCTTATCCCTTGTATCTTTTAAATTTCTCTTTTCAATTAAAGTTTTCTTAAAATTTGAAACAGGTTGTAATTTATTGATAATTATGGTTTCATTGTATATTTGCTACATTGAGACTCAAGTGATGATGCAAAATCTTTGATCTATTAAATTTGTTCTCTTTCTTTTGTAACAAACAGTCGGATGATGAGCGCGAAATGTGTGCCCGGACTGTCTATTGTACAAATATTGATAAGAAGGTATATTACTACTTTTTTGGGAAATACAGATAATTTTGGTTAAAGTAAACTATTTTAATTCAGAATAATGACCACCCATTTGGTTAGCAAGATCCAAAGAGTGGTAATCATAACACACTTCCTGACTTAATTAGCTATTGTTAACAAGTTCATGAGGATCACTATAACACATGGCATCTGTGATATGCATAAATGGATATTGGAGTTAGATCTATTTATGCGGTTAATTTTTCTCAAATGAGTGCAGGTTTCTCAAGCTGAAGTGAAGAATTTTTTTGAATCGGCTTGTGGCGAGGTTAGTCCAGAAAATAATTGGTTCATGCTATATGTGCTGGAACATATTTATGTGGAATAGTTGATTGACATCGCCATTTTATTTTACAGGTTACGCGCCTGAGGCTTTTGGGGGACCATGTGCATTCGACTCGAATTGCTTTTGTAGAATTTGCAATGGTAAGTCTTGACTATATCATTCAATGCTCTATTAATTGGCTTCACTACACCTTCATAGTCTGAGAGAAATAAGTGCATCACAAACAACTAGTTCAATCTATGTTTGATTATTTTATGGATTCCATATGTTTCTATCTGCATTGTTGTTCATGTCAACTATAACTATTCGACAATTTTTTATTTTCACTGTATTTTTCTATTCATTTTGAGCTCCGTTGTTTTTCCATATGGATTATTTCTTTTATACCATGCACCAGAATCTGTGTTAAGAGTAGAGTGAGACATAGGAGGGCATTGAAGGATTTTGTTAAGAGGGATTTCTTGGTGAATAATATAGTTGAGATAATATCCATGTAACTGACCTTACCTAGTGTGATGAGACCTTTGTGTTATACGCACCAGTTTTTGTTAAAGTTCTCACAAAAGTATATCTATATTGTTATTTTATATTGATATTTATTGAGTCACTGATTTGACAATTTTCCACCCACTTCCCCCTACACAGGTAAAGGGGTAGTTTCTTTCCATGTATCAATCACACCTAGTGTGATGAGGCTTTTGTTGTTAAATGCACTAGTATCTGCGTTATAGTTCTCGCAGAACTGTATATGTATTATTTATTTTTATTCGAAATTTATGGTTACTAATTTTTTTATTTTTCATTTTTCATTTCCGCTCTACACAGTTAAAAGTGTACTTTATATTCAGCCAACATTATGGTCATGATTCTACCGAACTTTCATTTTCCTGTATATGATGTGTAATTTTTAAGAGAGTAAAATGTTAAAGAAGTATGTCTATTTTAAAAGAATCAGCTATAAGAACTAAGCTTTTACCTTGCAATTTATTGTTTATTGTTCTAGGTACTTTATATCGGTTATGGGTGAGTTGGATTTCATTGATCTCCTGAACTGTTTATTTTGTCTTCTTATAGCATAATTGTTGACCTATTAAGGACTTTACAAATCATAACGGTCTTTCTTAGGATTCATGAATTAAAATTTCTATTTTCTTAAATGGATGAAAATGTTATGACCTATGGAATAATCAAAATTTCCTCTCATGTATTGTACATGTCACTAGAACATTTACATATACTCCATAAAGAATTAATGATTTCTTTTGTGATGTGCTTTCACTGTGGTAATGTATTATGTTAAGTTACACAAGAGGAATGTTATCTTGACTGGCACTTTTTTCTTACTGAGCAGGCTGAAAGTGCCATTATTGCACTTAACTGTAGTGGGATGCTCTTGGGAACCCAGCCTATAAGGTTTGCTGCCTTTACTGAAGCATAGTTTATGCAAAGTTTCAATGAAAATTAGTTACGCCATGTTGATTTTTCTCACTTCTCATTCTGTAGGGTAAGTCCTTCAAAGACTCCAGTGAGGCCAAGGGTCACTCGTCCGGCATCTCATTAGATGATCAACATGGTCCAAGACTTGAGAGAGAGAGAGAGAGGATATTTGATCAACTTTCCAGTTGAGACTTGTGTAGAAAGGGTGGTGAAACTTCCCTTTTTTTCAGTATTTCCATCTTTTTCTGTCAACAGCAGTTCCGTTTTTTTTTGTTGCCAGAGCTTATAACTACCATGCACTAGTTAAACTTTCTAGCATCCAGTCTTGATCTTGAAACATTTTACCGTAATGGTCTAGTTTCAGTTTTTTGGTTACGTGGAGCGCTTATTAATCATTCTTCCATTAGCCTTTTATCTTTTACAGAATCAAAGTCGTAATCTTTGATCTCAGTATGTTTAGCAGCTGAATAACCGTTCAATATAGTGGAAGATATGTGATTTTGATACATTGATGATGCCAATACTTTTATACTGTCGATCATCAGAATTTTTGACCGAACTTTAAAGTAAATACTGTAAAAAGTAACACATTTTCATCTTCATCTTAATATGTTCATTAATATTGTAAAAGAACATTTACTCTCCTTGTAATAAAATTCTTACGAAGCATGATTGTGCTGCGTGCAACTTCTATCATGGTTACATGTTTGGTTTTTGTATTGTATCAATGTAACATGGATTCTATTTTTTACATTTGAAACATCAACATGAGACTCTAATTGGTACATGTTAATGCCGTTGGTCTTAAACAAATTGGAAGGTATCATTGCCTAATGTACTCTATTTGGGAGCCCTTACCTCAACAGCACTTATGATTGGGCGCCATCTCAACGTATTTTTGAGAACTTTGGCACATATGCAATTTGGCTGGACCAATGAAAACACTGGTTATAGTTACACATCTATATTGAGCAGAAGGAAAGGTCCCCTACAGAACATGCATAAATATCTGAGTATAACACCTTTTTATCATTTTTTTAAATTAAAGATGCAAAGCATCAATCCTTGTATGATATCTATATTGTTGTGTGGCTACTTTTGGCAGGGTCCTCCATCTTTGATTCCCACTAAAGCTGGAATTGATTCTAATATCTAATTCCCTTTTGTAGGATGCTAATTGATAAATGTGCTGCATTAAATAAATAAATAAATAAGTTAGAAATTAAAAACATGCTATGTGGTAAAAGATGTTGTGGTTATGGTTTTCATTAGTTTGAATTAATTCGACCAATTTGGGAATTTAGACCAGATTAATCAAATTGTTTCAGGTTTTTTAATTCAAGTTTAATTTGAATCACACCAGTCAAATTTGGAAATAATTGATTCCAGTATTAGACGTGTGACTGGAGAAATTAAAATATATTTACTTTTTTTTATATATTTTTAATATAAAGACATTCGCTTTTTCTCTAATTTTTAAAAATATATTTATTTTTTTTCAAATTAATTTCTCTCTTCGTGTAGCTGTTTTAAAAATAAGTGAAAAAGTGTATGTTAATGAAAAATTAATTAACAAATGTTTGAATAAATTCGATTACGCTTCCTTTTTGCATAATCTGATAACGATGCCCCGCCTAGCTTTTGACTTTGTTTAATATTTAATGAGTTTAATGGAAAAAGCACGCAGTTGATAAAGCAATTAAATAGTTGATAAGGGTCTCTTCTCTTGGTTTATTTGGCAAAACACTAGTTGTCAGAAGTATTTTGTTAGGAATGTTTCTAACAAAATCCTATTAACTTAGAAAAGTTGGAAACTCTAATATTGTATTTGAATAAAATTTCGAGAAAATTTAAATATATTAAATTTAAATTTATTTCATTTTAAGTTATTTATTTTTAAATTTTAATTTTCTTATTTAGATTTTTTTTAATTATAGTCAAATGCAATATTTATTTTAGTATTAAACGTTATTATTATTATTATTATTATTTAAAAAATATAAGTTAGACATGCATTTGAATAAAAATTAAACGTTTTTTTTTAAGTTGAATAGGAATTTTTCACCCGACATCAACAAGAGTTTTGTCTTTCATTAATATATTAATAGAAATCATTTTAGATTCTGGACTATAAGGCATCATCAATGGAAGAAACGGAAGAAACTCATTAGTTGCTAAAATATGGATTTTTCATCATTTTTAAGTAAGTTGTTATTAACTTTATTTAAATAATTTTTAATAAATTTTAAATAATTCATTCTCTCGTATTATCTCACTTTATTTATTTTGTTGTATTTATTTTTATAATTTATCTAATAAAATAATTATAAAAAATTAAACAAATTATTATGCTAAGTAAATTCCTCAAATTGTTTGAAACCATTAATAGAAGGCAGATGCTCTATTTTAGCTAAGATTTTGGTTGCTTTTGAAGTTTTTTAAGCTTTTTAATTGATTTTAACTAAAAGTTTTATTAGCTAGTAGTAGCATAAAAATCTAATTAAGGTTGTTCAAAATTTTTCACAACATTTAGAAAAAAAAAACTTAACTAATTATAGAAAAAAAAAATTCCCATAAGACATCGCTATAAAATAACCATGAGATATCTATATTAAAAAATATGGTTGAAATCTCTCTTACTTACACTCACACACACACACACACTCTCTCTCTCTCTCTCTCTCTCTCTCTCTCTCTCTCTATATATATATATATATATATATATATATATATATATATATATATATATATATATATATATATATATATATAATCTTTTGATTGACAAAATTATAATTAACATCGATCAAGAAAGAGTGATGACCTACAATAATAAATACATAATCTCAACATATTAAAAGAAAAATAATTTCTATTAACTTCAATAAAATAATCTTATAAATAATGATAGAATAATAATCATTATTGAATTTAATCTAAAAGAAACCATTGTTAGATTAATCGAAAATGTGTTTTGGGATTGATGATCTCGATCTCAATTTAGCTAATGTCATCTTACCCGAAGATGAAGTAAAAAAAATAAAATATATATTTTCAGAGGAAAAAAAACAAGAATTTCAAATTATTATTTTTATTTAAATTTAAAATTATCTTATTTTAAGTAATTAATTTATTATCATAAATTTTAAAAATTTATTTATTTTTTATTTATTTATCAAAATATCATATTTTATCATAAAATAATTTAAATTTTCTATAAAACAAAATTATCTTCTATACAAACATAAAATTATTAAAAAGGTTAATAATACAGAAATAATAACACTAAAACAACCAAAAATATTAGAGTATCTAATAAAAATATTTTTCCTAAACTTGTAAAAATCGATTAGGAATAACAACAATAAAAAATGATAAGAGAATACCAATATTTTTAACGTGAGAAAACATCTCTAATGTAGCATTTTTCTTTTTTATTTGACAAGAGTAGTAGGTAAAATAAAGATACTTTATATATGTGTTACTGATGAAATTTGGTTTTATTTCAATTTCCCCAAAGACTAGGTATTAACCAATTTTCAACCATCGTGAGTTCTTTTTATTTAGGTTAGCAAACAAAGTTTTTCAATCAAAACGTACGAAACGATAAATTTAAGTGTGAAACACGGAAAGTGAATTTAAAAGCATACAGACATCAATGCTACTCAAATAAACAATTATATCCAATTGAAAGAAAGGTTGTTCAACAACAATGGATAAATAAATTATATTCATTAACTTAAAAAACGAAAGTTCTTTTTTTGTATTTTTTTATTAAGAGACTTGAGAACATGAGAATCGGCAAAAGTAAAATTAAGTATAAACGATATAAAATGAAAAGCTATGTGACATTAGAGACATGCAAATCCATATAAAGAAACTAAATAAAGATAAAATAAAAGGACATGATCATATGAAACTTCTGATTGAAATAACTAAATACAGAAAGGTAAATAAATGACAAAGTGGAAAAGTAATACATAATTTTAAATTGCACAAGAATAAATTACCAAGGAAAATACAGAAAATGGTAAAAGATGTCGATAAAGGCAGAAATTGAGATTGTCAAAAATTTCGTGATCGTCGTCGTTCTCTAGTAGACTTGTACAAGAAATTTCTGATACCCCTGAAAATCCCCTTCCTTCTTCACATTTTGTTCTATTTATAACTTTACTCAACATAACCACCTAAGAATGGTTTAGAAACCGCTACCCCATGTTCCCATGTGCAAAGATAACTGCTTCCTTCAATTTCGACCCTAGACATCGAATACTTGAACTGCTTCTGACTTCCCTCAAACTTAACTTAACACTCAATACTTATTATCGATTTTTTACTCCCAATCATGGTCATCGAATTTCTTCTATCCACTTTTCGATTCATATATCAATTTTTCCCACCAACAAAATGTCCCTTGAAAGAATAAAACATTGTGCAAATTTTGTATTCTTTCAAAAAGTTTCTAGCTCAACTCTTAAATGTTTTGAAGCCATACAAAGATGTTTTTATTATCAAATGTCAAATCAAGCCATTCCCCTCATTAATATTACTTGATTCTCGAAAAACATGTCTTTTCTCAAAATATCTGTGTCACGTCTCCATTTAATTTCCTTCCACGTTTATACGACATTTGATGAGGCAGTTAACATCTTGAATACTCCAAAACCTTCAGGAAATTTCCCTGGTCCTATATGGCTCATCCAACTATGGCTAACTTCGATTTTCGAGAGTATCCTCCCCGTATCGTCCAAAATGCCTTCGAGTTTCAATTTAGAAGGGGTTCGATTATCGTCTCGACACCCATAACAAAAGAACTCCAATAGAACCAATTACGGGACTTATTTAAAGTTCTTACTGACTCGATTTTATTTTAACTCATGTTTAGCTCCCTTCATTACATATCATGGAAAAATAAGTGATAAGGTTCGAGGACCATCATGGTTCAAATCCAGATTCCCAGCTCCTACCCCGGGTCTACAATCACAACTGATCGATGTATGGAGAAATTATTTAACTCAAGATGCCTTGGTATCGGGCTTTCAATCAAAGGATATTAAGTTCATCACTTATTACCCTCAACTCTTCTCAAGACAATTTGGTTTAAGTCAAGCTTTTCCGTTTTTC